GCATTTGCCCCCAGGAGACCTCAGCCAACTCACTTGTCTCCACGCCTCGGTTTCCCCATCCGTAAGCTGGGGCAGATGTTTGACCTGCTCTCGCTAAGAGACCTCGGCTTTTGGCCAGAGGTTTCCAACTCAAGCGAGTGCTGTGGCCTGAAACTTTGGCCGCGCTCGGGCATGCCTCGGTTTCCCCATCCGTAAGCTGGGGCAGATGTTTGACCTGCTCTCGCTAAGAGACCTCGGCTTTTGGCCAGAGGTTTCCAACTCAAGCGAGTGCTGTGGCCTGAAACTTTGGCCGCGCTCGGGCACAGAAACGCTCGCCGATACCTCACTGCGCGGCAGTTGTCTCCACGCAGCGGAGGAGCAGACCTGGCCGGCAGAGCGGGGAGAGGGAAGCCCGTTGGGACGCGCGGTTGGCGGGGCTGCTCTCCGAGTCCGGTCTCGCCGTTTCTCCGTAGAGCATCCTCGTAACATGGACGAAGGGATTCAAGTGCAGCGGCGTGGAAGGCAAAGACGTGGTCTCAATGCTGCGCAGATCCATCAAGAAACGAGGGGTAAGAGCTGCAGGTCTTCTTCACCTGCCGAGGCGACGGGGTGGGGACCCTAGGGACAACGCGTACAGCTCCACGCCTTGACTGCCCTGTCAGAGCGGAGATGGTTCAGGTGGTTTTGACTGCACCGACTCGCGCTCTCTGCTCTCCACCGTTTCAGGACTTTGACATAGACATCGTCTCTGTGGTGAACGACACGGTTGGGACCATGATGACCTGTGGTTATGACGATCATAACTGCGAAGTTGGCCTCATCATTGGTGAGCTGCAGCAGGGTTGGGTGAGGGCAGATTTGGGTCCACCTTGGGACCTGACAGTGCTGTTCATGAACTCTAGAAGGAGATCAAGTTTCTAGCAGGTTTTAGGGTCTTTACAGGAGAAAGGTGATTGCGGCTTTAAACAACATTGCCCGAGGTTTGCTTTCTTCAGTCTGAGCCAAGCAGAAGCTCAGGCCTGGGACTATATATTTACTTAGCGAAAGATTTTTAACTCACAGCAGTGAGCTACCACGCAGGTTTGCTTTAAAGAAAACAGGTTCCCTAGTTTTAAGGATTTCATCTCTGAAGGGCTATCAAAGGAAACACGTATTGGCAGCTCAGCTATGCTGCAAAATAGTCTGGACTAGGGTGTGAGGTACATGCTCAAACTGGCTGTGAAATTGTTTTATATGTTGCATTTGGCCATTGCTTAATTACGGAGAATAAGGGAAGCGCAGCATCCTTTCTCACCTGCCCAAAGCGATGGAGCCTCTGTGCTTGGTGCAGGTACCGGTACCAACGCCTGTTACATGGAGGAGATGAGACACATTGACCTGGTGGAAGGGGACGAAGGCCGGATGTGCATCAACATGGAGTGGGGGGCCTTCGGCGACGACGGCGCGCTAAACGACATCAGGACCGAGTTTGACCACGAGATAGACATGGGCTCGCTCAACCCTGGCAAACAATTGTAAGCACATTCCTGGCTTCGGCTCAGTCTGGGGGCTTGCTCTGTGTTTTCTGTCCTCCCATTGTGCTGGCGTTAGTGGCACTGAAGAGGTCATCCTAGTTAATTAGGTCACAGTGTCCTCCAGGGCGCTGGCTACACCAGCGCAAATAGGGACTGCATCACAAGTTTGGGTTGGTGCATCCAACTGAACCTCCCTATGCCCGCTCCCTCGGGAGCCCTTTGCTTGGATAATGTGCTCATCTCTCTTTCTTTCCCCATCCGGTGAAATAATCTGCAAGCAAAGGCAAACACCACCACCTAATGTTCGCATCCGACTCCTACAGATTTCCCATTTCCTACATGGTACGGGTATCTTCATAGCTGGCTTGTGGCAACATGGGTGGGATTTGGGGGCGGATCTCTGTAGACCGAGAGACAGCCCTCAGGTCACTGTAAATTCTCCTTGCAGAATGACGCTTTTGTCAACATGCCTTTGCTTTCGTGGTGATGGGACAGCATAAACTACTCAAAAAAAGATTTAAAAAAAGAGCACCTAGGCTGTATGTGTGCCTGGAAGGCTGCTCTGTCACTATAGACAAGGTTTTTTAATGTAGACCTGGCCATGGGGAGCTCTGTTCTTGCAGGAGTGCAGGTATGTCATTGATTTAAATAACTCCTCTAGATGATGCAAGCATCTACCCTCTTTTGGGGGCACAATATGAATTTTGCACACTTATGTACTTGAAACCTGCCTTTGTCATTGGTGGCCAGCTCATGGTGCACACGCAGCCAGGCAAACGCATCTTGTGCTTACCTTGGCAGGTTTGAGAAGATGATCAGTGGTATGTACATGGGAGAGCTGGTCCGACTCATCCTAGTGAAGATGAGTAAGGAAGGGCTCTTGTTCAGCGGGAGGCTCACACCAGATCTGCTCACTACCGGCCACTTCGAGACCAGATACGTCTCTGCTATTGAGAAGTGAGTAAGGTGCAGATGTTTTTTGGGGGTCCCAGCCCAACTCCTGATGTCCGTGCTGCTGGAACAGGACCCATCACAGAGCTATCCACTGGGCAAACGGAAACACTTCAGTTCACAAAAGTGGTATTGCCAGGCACAAGTCTCTTTTGTTCTTTGATCTGTAGGGAGAAAGAAGGGCTACAGAAAGCCCATGAGATCCTCACCAAGCTGGGCTTGGAGCCATCTGATGAAGACTGTGTGGCCACTCACCGCATCTGCCAGATCGTCTCCACCCGCTCAGCCAGCCTGTGCGGGGCCACCCTGGCAGCCGTGTTGCAACGCATTAAGGAGAACAAGGGGCTGGACCGGCTGCGGTCCACCGTCGGGGTGGATGGCTCTGTCTACAAGAAGCACCCTCAGTAAGTCCATGAGCGTGGGCAAGGCCAGTGGGAAGCAAGAAGGGGTCTGGCTGCAGGGTGAGAGATAGAGTGCAAATCTGGTCCTGCCAGCAGGGAAGACGAGGTGGGCGCAAGCAGAGCACCTCTGAATATCCCCCAGGGCCTCTCCATTTGGATCCCAAAGGGATTTGTACTCCCGCAGATTCATACGCCCCATGATGGCATACTCAAGTCCTCCTTCTTCCTCCTCCCACGTAGCTTTGCCCGGCGCCTCCATAAGACAGTGCGGAAGCTGCTGCCGGACTGCGACATCCGGTTCGTGAGGTCGGAAGACGGGAGCGGCAAAGGGGCAGCCATGGTGACGGCTGTGGCCTACAGACTGGCCGCCCAGCACAAGGCGCGGCAGAAGACTTTGGAGGCCCTCAAACTAAGCCACGAGAAGCTCCTGGAGGTGAAGCAAAGGATGAGGCTGGAGATGGAGAAGGGGCTGGGCAAGGAGACCCATGCAGAGGCCACAGTGAAAATGCTGCCCACCTACGTGTGCTCAACTCCAGATGGGACAGGTGAGGTACCACATACCTGCTGTATAGGGCAGAAAGCCAGCGTCTCAGCTCCCGACATCTTCGCCTTTTAGAGGAAGGCTGGTACTTGTGTCATGCTCAGTTCCCTCCTTATGGGGAGGGTGGCACAAGGTTTTAACCTTCAGGTAGGATACTGGGAAAAGCAGCTGAGCCTCCAGGACACTCCATGCATTGGACTTAACACCAAGCTTTGCTTTCACTGCCGCAGGTTTCTCGCTTCTTTTGCCTTGGGTCGTGATCCCAATTCCAGCTTGTGGCTTGGGTGTCCACTCCTCCATGGCTTAAAATCCTGCTGTCCCCCTGAGGCTGGAGGGAACCTCTACATTGCCTTCCTGCCTTTTCACCTGTTCCTACTGTCTTCCTTCTCAGCTGTGTCTTAGGTTTCCGGTCCTCCCAGGAAGGAGGCAGATCTGGATCAGCCTTTGGGCCACGCTCACAAGGCCCCTTTTGGGGATCTCTCTTAGTGACTCTCTTGGGTTTCAGAAAAAGGAGATTTCCTGGCCCTGGACCTGGGAGGGACCAATTTCCGTGTGCTGCTGGTACGCGTGCGGAATGGGATGAGGCGGGGTGTGGAGATGCACAACAAGATCTACTCCATCCCATTGGATATCATGCAGGGGACAGGAGAGGAGGTAAGGATGAGCAGCTGGAGATGTGGAGGGGAAAAGCATCTTTCCGGGGGGGGGGCTGCAGAAGTGGCCACCCCAGAGGGCCAGCGCTGGCCCTATCACGGGCCCAGGGAGTTGGTTTTACCTTGCTTTGGTTTCCATGGTACAAAATCAGAAGTGTGGAGGACGCTTGTTGCTCTCCTGCCTTTGCAAAACACTCAGATATTTTGTACACAGCACTGGAATTGGAAATGTGCTTTAGAAAGGGCAAAACTAGTTTTAGGTTAGAACCTGTGATTCCCAGACATCATTGAATCTCCCCGAATTGCACACCGTTTCCCGGATGGGAAAACCACAACACAGGCACTAAGAGACATCTGCAGAGCCACATTCATAGACCGAAACAGTTTTGCAAACCACTTGAAGTAGTGCTCAGGGAACAGGAGTTTTTCCAGCAGGAGACGAAGCAGATGGGTTCTGGGGCTACCTTGGGGAGGATTGCCCATGTGAATTTGTCACCTCCCCGTCAGCCCCTCCATCCCTTTTGGGTACAGTGTGGGGCCTGCAAGACGGAGATATCACAGTGATATCACCACATTGTTAGTGGGGGAGAGACGAAAGGGAGCTATTTTGGGTTTGCTCACCTCATACGGTGCAGCTGAGTGGCATCCTGATCTGTTCAGAGCCCCAGTGGCTTGGGAATGGATCGGTGCCCCCAGTACATCAAGCAAACTGAAGCCCAATTGAGTTTTCCACTGTGACTGTAACTGCCTCCTCTGGCTTTGTGTGCTCAGCTCTTCGACCACATCGTCCACTGCATCTCCGACTTCCTGGAGTACATGGGAATGAAGGGTGTATCGCTCCCACTCGGATTCACGTTCTCCTTCCCTTGCCAGCAGACCAACCTGGATGAGGTGAGCCCAACCCACCTGGCTCATATCACGCATGAGCAATACCCAGGGCTGGCTGAAAAGCCAAAGTGCACTGGAAAGTCCAGGTACCCGAACCAATGACTGTGTGGCAGATCAGGCAGAGATCCAACGGAGGGGAAAGGCAAAAGCTCGGGGCCACCAGTGCTCTGAAAAGCCCCCTCTGCTGCATCAAAACAAACGCAGCTCTCCCGAGCTCTGGAGAAGGCCTAGTTGAGGCATCTGCGTGCGTGAGGCTCTGACCTCCCACGTGACTGGCGGTGCCCACCAAAAGCTGGTGGAGGTGTGGGGGCTGTCCCTCCTGCCCAGCAGCCCGGATGACTCACCACATGTTTTTTCCACAATAGGGGATTCTTCTGAAGTGGACAAAGGGTTTCAAGGCCACCGGCTGTGAAGGAGAAGACGTAGTGAACCTGCTGAAGGAGGCAATTCACAGGAGAGAGGTGAATGTCCGCGGAGCTGTGAGACACGCTGGCTGCTCGCTGCCACATCCCAGCTCTCTTAGGGATCTTTAAGTGGACTGTAAAAGCTAATTAATGGGCTGAGCACAGGGTTAATGAGCATCTGAATTTAAACAACCACCCTTAGTCATGGGTAGAGGTTGGATTTTCAGACCCTGGAGCTAAGAGCCTGCTTCTGGCCAGGGCTGGAGCAGACTTCTGTCCTGTGAGTTAGGGAGACGCCGTTGCCCTCTTCCTCGGTGCAGGCCACGCAAAGCTCCTGCATGAGGGCTGCTTCTGGCAGGGCTGTTCCAGCTTGCCAGTTCTTACCTTGCTGGAGGTATCTGAGGTGTGACCGACTCTTGTAGTGGCCACCTGAAGATGTATGGGGCTGTGGGTAGTTTGTGGGTGCCTTGAGGACTCCCACACCCAGCAGCCAGGTCCTTTCCCATCACTGGAGAAGACAGCAATGTGGCAGGCTCTCTTCCAGGAGTAACAAGTGTAACCCCTTCCCTCTGCAGGAGTTCGACCTGGATGTCGTCGCTGTGGTAAATGACACGGTCGGCACCATGATGGCCTGTGGGTACGAAGATCCGTATTGTGAAGTCGGGCTGATAATTGGTGAGAGTTGAAGCTTTCTTACAGAGAAATCCTGTCTGTGGGCACAGATCCATCGGCGCAGGTCACTCCTGCCCGTTTCCAGTGCCCGTTCCTTTGAGGCAGGGCATCTGGCTGTTCAGGATGCAAGATAAAAGCTCACAGACAGCTTCTCCGAGTCCGCTGTTGACAAACGCTTCTCTCTTGGCAGGCACAGGCAGCAACGCCTGTTACATGGAGGAGATGAGGAACGTGGAGCTGGTGGAAGGGGAGGAGGGCAGGATGTGCGTGAACATGGAGTGGGGGGCGTTTGGCGACAACGGGTGTTTGGACGACGTGCGGACAGAATTTGACGTGGCGGTGGATGAGCTGTCTCTCAACCCTGGCAAGCAAAGGTGTGTGGTGGCTTTGGGGGACCGGGAAGGGACTCCACCGCGAGAGCTGCCCCCAAGCCTCTGTGGTGCCTGTGGCAAGGTGTGAGCAGAGATGAGGCTGGCTGGCAGCAACTCAGAGCTCCCCCTCAACCTCTTCATGGACCACTGATGTCAGCAGGGCAGCCTGGCTCTGCAACACACCAGTGCGAGGTTCCCATCTTCCCTTTCTACCTCGCTCCCTGCTTGCAAGACGGGGACCACGTTGCTGTGTTTTCTCCAGGGTGCCCGGCCTTGGAGAGTTGGCTGAGGTTCACAAGGAAGGTGTCTGGCCAAGCTGGGCTCTGAATCCAGATATCTTAAATCCCACACGCTGCTGCGTCCCTTCCTGTGCTGACGTTCAGCTCTGTCCTCTCCTCTCCAGGTTTGAGAAGATGATCAGCGGGATGTACTTGGGGGAGATTGTCCGAAACATCCTGATAGATTTTACCAAGCGAGGGCTGCTCTTCCGGGGACGCATCTCAGAGAGGCTGAAGACCAGGGGGATCTTTGAGACCAAGTTCCTGTCCCAGATAGAAAGGTGAGCTCAAACAGGCGGGGTGAGCACAAATTCTGGCCTTGCTGCTGCAGACCTGAGCAGAGAGATAGCTTGGGGAACGTGTTGCCAGGGCTTGCAGGAGAAGTTTCAAGCGCTCAGCTCCTTTTGGAGCCAGGATGATGCTGGGTGATGCAGAAGAAGACAGCAAAACCGCAGTGGTCCTGATGTTATCCAAGCCATCCCTGGGCTCTGCAGGATGTAGATAAGAAAGAGGAGCCAAAAGTCCAAGCTGCCCCAGCTGCTAACACTGCCTCCTCCTTGTGTCCTCCCCAGCGACTGCCTGGCCCTGCTCCAAGTGCGCTCCATCCTCCAACACCTCGGCCTGGAGAGCACGTGCGATGACAGCATCATCGTGAAGGAGGTGTGCACAGTGGTGGCCCGGCGGGCAGCTCAGATGTGCGGGGCCGGCATGGCAGCCGTGGTGGACAAGATCCGGGAGAACCGTGGGCTGGACTTCCTCAAGGTCACGGTCGGCGTGGACGGCACGCTCTACAAGCTGCACCCTCAGTGAGTCACTCATCTGCACGCGGGTGGCCGGGGCCTGTTCCCCAAGGAGACCAGGGGTGATGTGCTCATCCCAGGCTGGCTGGGTGCTGAGCAGGGGCCTGGTTGGGGTAATCAGAGAGGACAAGAGGGCACTTAAGGGCTGCCAGTGCCAGAAGCTTACTGAGCTAGACTTTGTCAGGAGGCCACGAGGGCTGGCTGCTCCGTCAGGGACGGGTAGCTGGGAGTCAAGGGGCACAATGGGCATCAGGGCAGGGCCTTCACCAGCTGGGACCTGTCCCACCACCTCGGAGTGAGGCGAGCGGGACAGATGGTGGTCAAGTCCAACCAAGAGCATAGATCATCAGGTAAGCTTGGAGCAATAAGGCAGGTCCAAGAGCAAGCCGGGAAGTCAATCCGCAGGCCGGGAGCAGGTCTGGTGATTGCCAGGTAGGTCCGTGATGATGAGGAGGCAGGTCTGAAGCCAAGCCAGAAAATCAGCCTGCAGGTCAGGGCCTGGAGGAAGGAGGTCCATGGCTGGGCACAGGCATGCTAGAGATGGGTGCTTGTATAATGACATAGCTCAGGCAGGGGCTGAAGGCCCAGGGCTGAGCTTAAATGGGGCTCCTGGGCCCATGGGTGGGTGGAGGCCCCAGGTGAGGCTGCTCAGGGCCATTAAGGCTTATTCATGCTCTCAGGGCCCTGACAAACTCCACCTGACAGGTCTGGAGCCGGTGCCAGATTTGGTCCTGGCAGGAGGGAGTACAGGCGCACACCAGGGCAACCGTGAACCTGGCTGAAGTAGGGAGATGTGGCCTCTCCGACGCCTACCGGGTGGCTGGGCTTGCGTGGCAGCTCTCTCTGAAGGGGGTCCTGCTCCTCTGTTGACCTTATTTCTCTGAGTCGGTGGCACTGATGGCGAGTGTGTGGAAGGCAGCCGGGCCCATAGGGGCTGAGCGGGTCGTTCCCTTTGGGGCGGGCACCTGCAGCCGCGCAGACAGCTTAAATCAGCTCCTCTTCTTTCTCTCTCTGCTTCCCGCAGCTTCTCCACTGTCATGCACGAAACAGTGAAGCAGTTGTCCCCAAAGTGTGAAGTGACCTTCCTGCAAGGCCGCCAGCGGCAAGGGCGCAGCGCTCATCGCGGCGGTGGCCTGCCGGATCCGGGAGGCCGGCCAGCGATAGGAGGAAGGAGGTTTGCTGAAAAGCTTGGTTTCAGCAAAGCAGAGGACGTTTCCCCCTGCTGTCCCCTCTCTCCCTTCCTCTGTACGCCCACCCACCCACGTGCACCTTCCCCTTGCAAGCAGCCCCTTAGCTTTCCCGGTTCTCTCGCGATACCGCCAGCGGCACTGGAGATGCTGCGCGCTCTGCCTAAAGCGTCGTCTTAGGAGTTTGACTGCATGCCGTAAAACCGTGTATCGAGTAAAGCGCCAAGCGTCTTCTGGCCGCGTACCTACATCTCCAGTCAGAGCGGGACCTGTTTCGCTTGCAGCCTACCTTACGCGCCAGCTCTCCGCCCCGTATCTCCCAACCGCCCTCACGCCTTCCCTGGCAGCAGCAAAGCTAATGCTAAAATAATTGCGATTCTGCATTGTCACTTTACAGTAACCAGTACCTATTTATATATGTCAGAGTCGTCGTGTCCGTGCTCTAGAAAGCAAACCTCTTTAAGATTGGGCTAAAGACCTCCATTAGTCTTTTACCCTGATCAAGGCTGTATTATTTCCATGAAAGTCATGGTCGCTCTCAAAGCACAGGGTGCAGAACTAGAAGCTGCGCGTTCGGCGGCTGCACCGAGAGATACCGGGTATCTCTGCGCAGAGCAGGGAGCAATATTAAAGAAGCTGCTGGATGCCAGTTAGAGGCTCCCCTTTAACTGCTCCGGCGGAGCACGTGCCTGGAAATAACTGGGGACTCAGGGTCTAATCCCATTTCCCGACCTCTCGCCCCTGCCCTAAGCGTAGTAGCGTAACGTGTGCGTGTGGTTTGGGTCGCCCCTGGAGCCCACTAGCCCCCTGGCCCGGTGCGCGGGCAGCTGCAGAGAGCCACCAGCACGATGCGGTGGTCCCCTCCCGGCGCGTACGTCCTGGGTGGGCGGCTGCAGCTCAGGTGAGGAGTTTGGTTTGCTTTTTTTCTTGTGTCTGTGAAATAGCTCCGTCTGCAGTCTCTTAGGTGACATCTGCTTTTGTCCGCTCTGTATTTGTGTTTCAAGAGCTTTGTGTCTTTTTATGTAGGTAGTCTCGGCCGCGGGGGGGGTGGTTATAGCGCTTAGCTTTGACTTCATCTCTTAACGTCGCTTAAGAACGGCGCAGAGTACTTGTTTGTTTTTTTTTTTCTCCTTTTTTTTTTTTTAATTTAAATTTTTCTCGGGGCAGACTGGAAAAAGAGACCCAAAATTCCCAAGGACAGTTATGCGAGGAGCTCAGGCTTTCTCAAGTTCTCACTGGAACGAAACGGCAGCCCGAGGGCCAGGGACGCGATGCGCTGGCGCCGGGGAGGCAGGGGACACGGGAGCTGGTTATGTCCGGGCCCGATCCTGCGCGCTGTTGCATGTATAACCGGCAACACCGTGCACAAGCTGTCCCCGCGGGACCTCCCCCCCCCCCCCCCCCGCC